ACCAATGATGTTGTATTTTGCAAATATTTTACTCAAAGTTTTAGCAATGAGGATTATTTATATTTTCACAGAACCGAACAGACCTTCATCTATTGCTAATGAGCAATTCGTCATAAGGTATGAAAATAGGAATTCTGTTTGTTCAAACATTTGGAACAAAAATTTTGGAATTATAAGGTTCTGTGAGATATCCATGAAAACTGGAGGAACAAAAAAATCCGCCTGCTCATGCGTTCATTTTGCAATCTGATGAAACCACATGAAAAGTTCGGCTCATGCGTTCATTTTGAAAATTCGCTTAAACGATATTATACTCCAAAAATACGGAATAGACATAGAACAGGCGTTTGGTGGATGAGGATATGTTAATAAAGAACCTTTAGAGCGATACAAATGTTTAGAAGTTTGCTTGGATGTCAAGTTATTGGCTATCAAAGAGCGATTTTATCAATTTTGTGACTTTTCTTGTGCAGTTGTCGATAACGATCTAATAAGTTAACAAAGATTTGGCGAGTTTGAGATGCCTGTCGGATAAAGTAATCATACGAGATCAGAATAGGCTATAAATTTTTGTGAAATATGCATTTTCAAAGAAATTAAAGACAATTTTCTTACCACAGTATCGGTTTTCCACCGTGTAAAATTGATCTCTACATGCGTTCTCCGCCTGGGAAACATAGTGAACGATTGGACTCGGTGTACATGCAAGAAATAACTGGGTAAATCTGAACTTTTGGGTATGCATGTGTCCTTTTTGTTATTTGTAACTGTTATTGTTATACGACAGTTTAATGACTTTCGGCACATTATTAGGTCCAGACAATTGACGTCAATGTCTGCTCGAGATATAAACGACACTCAATAAAATCATTTCATCAAATATGTAAAAAAGATTTTTGCCGAATTTTCAAAAAATTGTCCAATGGCAAGTTAAGCTGGTATATATTATACTACAACATGTATGCACATATATGGTTCACAGATAAAATATATTTAAAACATCTGAATGAAATACAAATGGAGTACTGGTCCATGTCACAAATTCATTTTGTCATGTATGTAAACACGGACCAAACCTTAGTCACATATATTGACACCGTCACCCCGGCAGACTGAAATGTATTCTATAACTGAATAACTTCATTAAATCTGTAAGCAAATGTTCTGAATTCATGTTCCAAATTCAAAGGAGGACACCATGCACAATTCAAACAACAAATACGAATTAAATCACCTAACGCAGATCACGTTCTAAAAATTGCACTTTCGAAATTTTTTTTTCAAGTCATTAATAAGGTCAGTCACCTGTTTGGCTCGTATTTCATTAGCCTTTATTATTTTCATTAAAGATGATTTATTATGCATGACCACACAAATTGTAAATTAGAGTACATCTATGTTTTAATGAAGCTATAACCATTGAAGTAAAACTGATGCAAGTATTCCGACAAGCTTGGTAGGTCTACTAAAGTGCTTGTTGGTGTCTGAAACAATGCTGTTGTCCCCCCCCCCCCCCCACCACCCTCGTCTTACCTGCCCTTGAAAGTCAAGAAATATTTTAACTTTGAAGTAAATATCTTTAACAGTTATTAGAAAGGCAAATATAAGAAATCAAAAAATATAATCATTGAGCAAAATAGGCTTTCAGGACTCCTACCGCTTAGAAATGCATTGGAGAAATGTACCTTACCCATAAGGTTAACCAAGAAATTTAATGACAAAAAGGGGCATAATTAAGCTAAAATAAATTATAAGGTAACCTGTCCTGTAGAAATGCATCCAAATTTAAAAGTTTTCCAAGTTTTGCAAATTAGCTTTCACAGTCTGAGAAATTGACCTCATTCCAAAAAATAAATAGACAAGAACCGGTTGAACCGGGTGATGCTCCTGGAAAAGGTTTTGGATACAGAAAAGAATACCTCTTGTAGTGTCAGAGTTATGTCCCGGACAAGTGTAAAAATGAACAAAGGGCAATTACTTCAAAATTAGGCAAATACTTAAAAACAAGAGGGCAATGATGGCCCTAAGGTCGCTCACCTGTATATAGGCCCCCTGGAGCGGGCCAATTTAAACCCCAGGGCTTTTATTTGAACAAACTTGGAAGACACCCATTAGAAGATGTTTCATGATGTTAAGTTTTTACTATACACATATAATGAAAAACAATGATCACCCCCCTCCCCCGCAGGGCCAATTTTAACCCAAAGGCTTTTATTTGAACAAACTTGGTAGACACTCAAAAGAAGATGTTTCATGCTAAACATCTAAGCTCTAGCTCATTGCGTTTTTTAAAAGAAGATTTTTTAAGTTTTTACTGTACACATATAGTTAAAAACAATGACACCCCTGGGGCAGGGCCAGTTTTGACCCCAGGGCTTTTATTTGAACAAACTTTGTAGACACTCACTAGAAGATTTTTCATGCTTAATATCTAAACTCTAGCTCTTTAGGTTTTTTCAAAGAAGATTTTTTAAGTTTTTGCTATACACATATAAGAACAAGAGCTGTCGGTAGGACAGCATGCTCGACTATTCTAAGTGCTTGATAGTAAAAGAGCCTTGATAATGTTAAATTTTTCAAGTTCACAAAAGGCTAATTTTTTTTTATAAATTCATGTTATAGGCCTAAGAGAGAGTCTAATTATACAGTAATGTCACAAGGGTGTTTTATTGAGTATAATAATACTAATACCTATGAATAAATAAATTTGACAGAAAAGGTACAAAGGCTTGTTATTAAGATGTTTTATCAAGTAAATCACTGCTTTATTATTATGAATGCATAAAATTGTCCCAAAAAAGGCAGAAACCCTTCAGTAGTTATTGAGATAACAGCTTACAAGCAAAACTTTACCATGAATTTCTCTAAGTTGAAAAGGGGAGAAAAGTCAGCCTAAATGCTAGATAGAATTATGGATCTTTGTCAGTGACCTACAATTACGACCCTAAATGCATATGTGAAGTTTTAAATAAATATCTTTAATAGTTATTGAGATATGTAAAACTTGCATGTAAACATTAACCAAGAGACTAAGTAGAAAAGGGGATATGAATCAGCCTTAATGCAAGATAGAGTTATGGAACTTGGTCAGTGACATACAATCATGACCCTCCAATTATGACCCTAATTGCATGTGTAAAGTTTCAAGTAAATATCTTTGAAGACCTTTAATCTTTAACCAAAATTTCTAAGTTTCAAAGGGGCAAATAATTCTGCAAATATTTTAGGCAGAGTTATGCAATTTTGCAAACTGATGTACATTGTTACTATAAAAAAGTATTTTAAATTTCAATTGAATATCTCAAGCAATCATTGAGATATTTGACTTTACAAAAAGACTTTAACCAAAATTTCTAAGTTCCAAAGGGGCATAATTCTGTCAATATTGTAGGCAGAGTTATCCAACTTGTCAATCTGATGCACCTTGTTACTATAAATAAGTATTGTAAGTTTCAATTGAATATCTCAAGCAATAATTGAGATATTTGACTTTACAAAAAACTTTAACCAAAATTTCTAAGTTAAAAAGGGGCATAATTCTGTCAATATTGTAGGCAGAGTTATCTAACTTGTCAATCTGATGTACCTTGTTACTATAAATAAGTATTGTAAGTTTCAATTGAATATCTCAAGCAATAATTGAGATATTTGACTTTACAAAAAACTTTAACCAAAATTTCTAAGTTAAAAAGGGGCATAATTCTGTCAATATTGTAGGCAGAGTTATCCAACTTGTCAATCTGATGTACCTTGTTACTATAAATAAGTATTGTAAGTTTCAATTGAATATCTCAAGTAATAATTGAGATATTTGACTTTACAAAAAACTTTAACCAACGCAGACGCCGACGCGGACGCTGACGCCGGGGCGACTACAATAGCTCTCATATTCTTCGAATAGTCGAGCTAAAAATCAATGACCCCCTGGGGCGGGGCCAATTTTAACCCAGGGCTTTTATTTGAACAAACTTGGTAGACACTCATTAGAAGATGTTTCATGCTAAATATCTTAGCTCTAGCTCTTAGGGTTCTTTAAAAGAAGATTTTTTAAGTGTTTACTATGTGCAAATAGGGAAAATCAATGACCTCCTGGGGCGGGGCCAATTTTGACCCCAGGCCTTTTATTTTAACAAACTTGGTAGACACTCACTAGAAGATGTTTCATGCCAAATATCTAAGCTCTAGCTCTTTGGGTTTTTTAAAAGAAGATATTTAAAGTTTTTCTTTCGGTTGCCATGGCAACTCGAGTTCTGCATGGAATTAAATTCTTTGAAGAATTTTTAAAGGTGACCACCAAAGGAACATTCCTGTGAAGTTTGGATGAAATTGGCTTAGTGGTTTATGAGGAGATGTCATTTAAAGTAAAAGTTTACGGACGGACGCCGGACGAATGGCGATCACAAAAGCTCACCCTGTCACTTTGTGACAGGTGAGCTAAAAAAAAAAGAAATGCATAGTACTGGTTCTTGTGCACTGCACTTCTTTTTAATGAGATCTATCAACCTATGAAGTTTCAACTCAATAGCTTTTACAATTTAAGAGAAATGGCCCATGTAAAAATTAGAGTATGAAAATTAACAAAGGGCAATAACTAAATAATTAAGAAGTGCAGATTAACGATTCTTGTGCACTGCACTTCTGGTTATTGCAAGAAGCATGCATACCAAAGTTTGAGTCAATCCGACTTATAGTGACTGAGTCATGCTCTGGACAAGCCTTAGGGGACACCGCCGTCGCCAACAACGACAAAAGTAACCCCTATATGTCGCCTTTTCAAGGCCACACAAAAATGTTTCAGGATTATTTGCCCTTTAGAATTGGTGTCCTTTCAAGACAATAATCATGTATAACCGAGTTTGAAAGTGAAAAGCTGTTATAGTTTCTGAGAAAACAGACCTTAAAGGTTAACCAATGCTGATGCTTACAAAAGGGACATGATAAAAGCTCAGCTCTTTTTTCCTCAAAAAGTGGAGATAAAAAAAACAAATAAACAAACAACGATACATTCACTTTTATAAGTCACACGCATTTTGTTTATAATATTTCTGAACACAAATGCTTCAAACTTAAAAATACAATTTGAATTTAATGATGATGTAAATGATGATACAGATGTATTATAATTTGGTACACTTTTAGAAAAGTCTCTTGTACATGTAACATGCATCATGTTTTTCTCAGTCACACATGAATTGAAACAGTCATTACAAAACACAGATCATGGTTATTTTTTTTTCACATGAAAAGAACGAGGAAAAATGATAATTTCAATGGAAATGTCCATGAATGTTTCTTTTTAAAGAATGAACATGTAGCAAAACAATAAATGAAAAATCCTTGTTACTTTTTTATATAATTTCAATGATGAGAATTGTTTTGATTGCCGACACTTTGTAAAACATTATTATGCCATATTCCAGAAACTACTACAGGCAGGTCGACAATGTTAACATCTATATATAGTTCCAAGATTATTCCCTATATTTCATGTGTATTTGTTACATATAATAACAAATTCAAGCACTGGAAAGTACTATATCCTTAGATATGAGCATGGTTATATGTTATCAGACAATATCATAAATATACCATATAATGGTAAATAAGTTTCATAACCTAACACAGTTGAACATATTTCTAAAAATAATACACATATGTCTATGAGCATAGCAAAATGGACATAGATATAATTTTTGAAAGCGTGATTTGTAGCTTGGTACTTCAAAATTAGTTATTCAGATACTTCTTAATAATTTCAGAAGCGTCTCGACATATCTCGTCTATGTGGTAATATCTCCAAACTGTGTAGTATTATGATTTATTACACTCTTGTCATGTTTTCAAAATATATGTACAAAATGTTAACCATATAGAAATATCTGTACACAATGTCAACATGGATACAAACATCAGCTTTTCTTCAATGTCTTCCTGATTAAAGCCATTCTCTGAAAAAATAAAATTACATAACTGATTAACATTTTATAAATAAAGTATATTATTTGCTCTAAAGATATTTGACAAATTTATGGCCCTATTTAAATGGTTGTTTGCAAATATAACCCGAGCCCAGCTGCTATGCAAATTGTCATTTATATATGACCATTTAACACAACAGGAATCTTAATCACGGATTTATAATACAGTAATCTTCCTTTTTATAGGAAAAAATGAGTTTTCTTCATAAATTGACAGCAGCTGTGCATATCAAAACTAGAAATGTGTCCATAGGACATGGGTGCCCCCACACTCCACCAATTTGTCAATCTTATGTCTCTAGGTCCAATTTTTTTTTTTGGCTACATGAGCCCAAGTTGAACACTAAAAATCTTTTATTAAGTTAAGGGCAAATACTACAAATACTGAATAAATCCGAAAGAAAACCCCAAGGTGCATAAGTACACATGCTGACCAACATTCTTGAAAACTTTCAGGCCTACAGGTAAAATACTTTTTGAGTTACGTGCAACAGAAGTTGAATATTGTGTATTTTAACTAAGTCAAGGGCAATAACTCTAAAAAACTAAAAATATCCACACGAAAATACCCAGGTGCACAACTACACACGCTGAGCAACATTCCTGTTAGGTTTCATGACTCCAAGTCAAATATTTTTTGAGTTACCTGCGACACAAGTTGAAATTGAAAATTTTTACTAAGTCAAGGGCAATAACTCTTAAAATACTAAGAATATCCACACGAAAATACCCAAATGCACAACTTCACATGCTAAGCAACATTATTGTAAGGTTTTATGACTCTAGGTCAAATACGTGTTTAGTTACTTACGACACAAGTTGAAAATTTAAAATTTTTACTAAGTCAAGGGCAATAACTCTTAAAATACTAAGAATATCCACACGAAAATACCCAAATGCACAACTTCACATGCTAAGCAACATTATTGTAAGGTTTTATGACTCTAGGTCAAATACATTTTTAGTTACTTACGACACAAGTTGAAAATTGGAAAGGGCAATAACTCTAAAAATACTAAAAATATCCACATGAAAATACCCAGGTGCACAACTTCACATGTTGATCAACATTCCTGTAAGGTTTAATGACTAAAGGTCAATTACTTTTTGAGCTACGTGCCACATCAAAAAGAGAACAGACGGACAAGGGTAAATCTAAATGCCCCCACCACCCCCCCCCCCCTATAGTGGGGGCACAAATATATATTACATCACGATTATCCAATGAAAAGTGACATTACAAACATGCAGTATTTTAAGTCAAATATAATCCCTTTTTTATAACATGTATATACATATTTCAAGGGTTAAAAAAATTCCCAAATTTTTTCAAATTAAACTTTATAATCATAAATAAGCATACTAGTTCAGTAAAAGGTAGGTTGTTTTAAACCCAAAACAATGTTTTCCTGGGAACACTTTTTTTCTTTTTTTTTAACCCCAATGAAAAAATTAAAATTTCTCTAAATAAATACAAACTTTAAACTCTTAAAAAAACCCCTGTGGAAAGGGGAAAATGAAAAATTTTCATTCAAAAACATAGCAGGAATTTTTACCCTTTTTCAAAAGGAACTTCCTTTTCCCCCTTTATCCCTTAAAAAAATTTTTGTTTAAAAAAATTTTTTTTTAACCAAGGAATTTGGGTTTTTTGTTTAAAAATTCTAACAATACCTCACATATTTTTTTTTTTGGGAAAAAATTTTAAAAAAAAATACTGCCGGGAATAGCAGCAGCAGCAGGAGGGAAGACCATATTTAGATGCATGAAAGTACCGACTGCATGCTTTTAGTCAACACGGATTGTATGGGTAAATCCAGTTGCCACAAGCAGTCTAAAGATTTAATAATTTAGAGAAACTACCATTGGCTGAGGTAACCAACTTGAAATCATTTAACCCTCAATATTGTGGATTTTAACCTCAACTGAATTAAGATTCTTTTCATGTGACAAAGCTTTGAAGCTAGCTTACAGAAGGTTGTAAGTTTTTCTTGGGTGGCTTGTGATTACAACAATGTACAGAGGGGAACCAAAAATCTTCCTGCATCAGGAAAACCACCAAATCACCTTTGCAATGTAAGTGTGATGGACAATTAAGCAAACTAAAGCTGTTGGTAGGACAGCATGCTTGACTATTCTTAGTGAATTGAAAGTAAAAGAGCCTTGATATTGTAAAATTTTCTAAAGTCACAAAAGGGCCAATTTTTTTATCTAAACTATATTTACAGTTACCGACCTTGGAGAGTCAAAAAAAGTTGTGTAAAATTTCAGATGTTTCAAAGCATGATGTCAATGAAATATGAAAAATATCTGAGTTGGTACACAAAACATAAATTTAAAGTCGAAAAAAAGGGGCATAATTCCTGTCAAAATTGTTTGAAAGAGTAACCTCCTGTGTCTACAGGTTAGAGGGTATGATGGTGAACAAGTGTGTGCAAAGTTTCAAAGCAATACGACAGTGGAACTTTGAAAATTATTTGAGGTGGATGTAAACTTTAACATAAATTCTAAGTCTTAAAAAGGGGCATAATTTCTGTCAAAATAGCTTGGGTAGAATTACCTCCTTCCCTTTTCTACCAGGTTCGAGGGCATGATGGTGTACAAGTGCTGCCAAAGTTTCAAAGCCATATGTCAATGGAACTTTTTGAAAAATATTAGGACGTCTTTATAAAAACCTTTAACCAGAAGTGGTTAAAAACGAACGGCCAATGCTCAGGTGATTAGGATAGCTCTCACTTATTGTTATCGAATAGTCAAGCTAAAAAATAGGGACATTTACCTGTTTATGCGCTTCTGTCGTTGCTGCCCTCTTGTAAGGCCGGAGCTCATCTGTGCCAAAACCTGGTACCCGGCACATACCCAACTATGTTCTGTAAAAAAATAACAATTAACAGTATTTAATATGCTCTGCTTTATACAACATTATGGAACTTAGCTTTATTATTAAAACCATGTTTAACTATAATTTTAATCATATAACTTTTTTCACCAATCTGGCAATGAAAGTATAAGCTAGGGTTGTAATTTAGCAATATTTTCTACTTGCAAATTTTTGCAATTAAAATGTTTAACTGGCAATATGAGGTAGTCAACTGGCATCTGATTGCATATCTTTTATTGTTATACACATTGACAATACATTTTGAACACATGGTATGACAGATGATATTAAGCTTCATGTCTATTGAATGTCAAAAACATCCTAATCACTAGTAAGCACGGTTCTCTTCATGTAATGAAACAAAAACAATTCAACATGTTAATTTCTAAATGAAGAACAATTATTTAGTGATCAGGGCCTGTAAGAAAGCGACATACACATAAAAGTATTTGAAACGGCAGTGGGTAATCTAAAATATTTTCAACCCCTAAAAAACATATACATGTTTCCTAAAACACAATGAAGAACATAACCAATAAAACAGACTATAACTATGATCAAAAATAAACTAAAATACATTGATCGGACACATTCACATGTGAACTTAAATACATTGATCACTAATGAGCTCAAATACATTGATCACAATTGAGCTCAAATACACTGATCACAATTGAGTTCAAATACATTGATCACAATTGAGCTCAAATACATTGATCACGTGAACTTACCATGAACATGTGAACTTAAAAACATTGATCACAATACATTGATCAAACTGAGCTCAAATTAATTGATCACAAATGAGCTCAAATACAATGATTACAAATGAGCTCAAATATACTGATCACAAATGACTCAAATATATTGATCACAAATGGGCTCAAATACACTGATCACAATTGAGCTCAAATACATTGATTCACATTGAGTTTCAAATACATTGATCAAATTGAGCTCAAATACATTTGATTACATTCACATGTGAAGTTAAATACATTGACAACATTCATATGTGAACTTAAATATATTGATCACAATACATTGATCAAACTGAGCTCAAATACATTGATCACAAATGAGCTCAAATACAATGATCACAAATGAGCTCAAATACATTGATCACAAATGGGCTCAAATACATTGATCACAATTGGAGCTCAAATACATTGATCACAATTGAGTTCAAATACATTGATCACAATTGAGCTCAAATACATTGATTACATTCACATGTGAACTTAAATACATTGACAACATTCATATGTGAACTTAAATATGTTGATCACAATACATTGATCAAACTGAGCTCAAATACATTGATTACAAATGAGCTCAAATACATTGATCACAAATGGGCTCAAATACATTGATCACAAATGGGCTCAAATACATTCATCATAATGAACTGCAAGATACAATTATAAAAGTTTAACAAAACTTTCAACATACCTAAATGTAATTGAACATCTTTGACATCTAAGGTATTTGATTTTCTATGTTTGGCAATTTTACAAAGATGATGTTCACCACACTTTCAATAAAAATCATCTGCAATTTGCATAAGCACCTGAAATAAATAAAATTCAAAACCTATCAGACTTTCAATGCTACAAAGTAATAAGTTACTGTGTACTTGCATACATTTTGCTATGGAAACAATAATTTGTTAATATCCCAAACCCTTCAATTTAGTTAATCATGGTTTGATCTGCAAGGTTTTAAGTCATGTTCCTGTATAAGTCATATAGGGACTGTATGCTTTACTGTCGGACACATGCTCTATAATGTACATTATTGCAGGTATATGAATAGAAGTTTTTACCTAATGTCCATCCATCTATATAGACTACTTGGCCAATTTTTTTTACATTATTAACATTAAATATTTAACATTTAAAGTCTTTTCCAGGACTTAAGAAAACAACACTAAGGGTTTAAAATTAGTGGAATTTAGAATTGTTTGGGGAAAAATTACCTGACTAAGCTAAATATTTAGATCATGGTGTAAGTTCAAATGTCAGAGAATCTGACAAATGTGAATATAGCATAATTTTAATTGGTTTTATAAAGTAGGAGTATCAAATACCTGGACTTGAGGCAAGTGCCTAAAAACTTGTCCCCATGTTAAAGCAAGGCCAGGATAGTGACATTAATTTTATACTGTCAAACAATACTCTATATTGGGTCAATTTCACCATTGAAATCCCTTTTAACAATAATGGACAGCAGGTCCATGACAGAAATTCAGCAGGTTAAACTTAATGGTTTTTTAATCAGGAAACAAAATTAAAAGCAATATTGAAATGTCAAAAAGAGAGGCTGTTTTGAAATGTCAGAAACAGACACTTTTTCAGATCCTATTCAATACCTCTTCAACATCTTCATCGAGCTGTTCTAGAGGATCAACCTCTTTAACAAGTTCCTGTAGTCTCCTCTTGTCCAGCACTTTACTCTCCTTGCTCACAGAGCTTGGTATGCCTACAGCTGACACAGTTGCCGGCTGTGTTGCTGACACTGCCCGGCGCAAACCCACTGTTTGCTGGGTTTAATGCCAAACCGGGCTGGGCCCCAAAACAATCAGGACTGTTTTTTTTATTCCCCTTTAAGATAACAAAATAACAGTTTTTTTTTTAAATTTTGAAGTTTTTATAAAAAAACGGGGAAAAAAAATTTAAAAAATGGCTAAAAGATGTTGGAAAAAAGGGTAAACTTTTTAAAAAAAAAATTTTAAAAAATTTTCCCAACTAAAATATAGTTTTTTGGGACAATTTTAATTTTCCCCAAGATTTGTAAAATATCCTGGACAAATTTTATCGAAAAAAAATTTTGAGACTCATATTTTAGTTTACATTTTTTGATTAATTATAAAGATACATAAAAACATAAGTTTATCAAAACTTTTCAAAAACAAAGAAACGGGTTTTGGTAAAAATTTTTTAAAGGACTGAAATGACACTTCCCAACCCCAAAACTTACATTAGCCGGTATTTGCTGTGAAATGATACCAGGTACAGGCGAGGATACTGCAGAAGCTGCCACAAATGTGTTAGGTGTTGATGCCATCACACTGATTTATATGTTATAACTATTTACACCATTTTACACCATTTTCAAACCATTGTAATTTCCTGCAAAAATGAATTTGTAATATATTACTTTTTGTTTTTGTTTTGATTGGGTTTTACGCCACATCGCGATGTTCCAGCTTAACTAGTGGAGGAAGACCTCAGGTGCCCTTCCGTGCATTATTTCAGGCACGAACAGGCACCTGAGTAGAACCACCGACGTTGGAAGCTTGTTTGTTTGCTTTTACGCCTTTTCCCAACAGTATTTCAGTCATATAGGCGGGTAGTTTCCTAACCATTGTTCCTGGAGAGTTACACCAGTACTAGACTACTTTCCTCCGTGCTAAACTACCAAAGCATCTCCCGGGGATCGAACCCACGCCAGAGAGGTAAGTGGATTAGAAGTCATTGACTCTAACCCCTCGACCACGGAGGCGGTACACATTGGAAGCTGGATAGCTTCCTCACATGAAAGAATCCAAAGTCCCTGTCGGGATTCGAACCGACATCGGTGAGGGGCAAGTGGTTTGAAGTCAACGACCTTAACCACTCGGCCACAGATGACCCAATATATTACTTTTTAATTTTATAATCCTTATAACAAGTTACTAAGAATATATAATCTGACTCTAAATAATATAACATGACACTAGACAACCAGCTAATAAACTTTGAAATTTTGCACTGATTATTGGGAAGCATGGCCAATTTTACTAAGATTAGTTCTAACGTTGAATAAGACCAGATCGGCCATATTCATTTTATTTAAAGTTATTACAACAAGAGCTGTCGGTAGGACAGCACGCTCGACTATTCTTAGTGCTTGATAGAAAAAGAGCCTTGATAATGTTAAATTTTCTAAATTCACAAAAGGGCTCATTTTTTTTTATAAATTCATGCCTTAGAGAGAGTCTAATTATACTCACAACAAGAACTGTTGGAGTAAATATCTTTGAAGACCTTTAACCTTTAACCAAAATTTCTAAGTTTCAAAGGGGCAGATAATTCTGCAAATATTGCAGGCAGAGCTATGCAATTTTGCAAACTGATGTACATTGTTACTATAAAAAAGTATTGTAAATTTCAATTGAATATCTCAAGCAATTATTGACTTTAACCAAAATTTCTAAGTTATAAAGGGGCATAATTTTGTAAATATTATAGGCAGAGTTATCAAACTTGTCAATCTGATGTACATTGTTACTTTAAATTAGTATTGTAAGTTTCAATTGAATATCTCAAGCAATAATTGAGATATTTGACTTTACAAGAAACTTTAACCAAAATTTCTAAGTTAAAAAGAGGCATAATTCTGTATATATTGTAGGCAGAGTTATCCAACTTGTCAATCTGATGTACATTGATATTATAGATAAGTATTTTAAGTTTCAATTGAATATCTCAAGCAATAATTGAGATATTTGAATTTACAAAAAACTTTAACCAAAATTTCTAAGTTAAAAAGGGGCATAATTCTGTAAATATTGTAGGCAGAGTTATCCAACTTGTCAATCTGATGAACAATGTAACTATAAATAAGAATTGTAAGTTTCAATTGAATATCTCAAGCAATAATTGAGATATTTGAATTTACAAAAAACTTTAACCAACGCAGACGCTGACGCGGACGCTGACGCCGGGGCGACTACAATAGCTCTCATATTCTTCGAATAGTCAAACTAAAAATGACTTTTTTTTGGCAATGACACAATAACATAGGCACCAAAGAAAAAGTTTATAATAACAATTTAAAATAAATTACTGGTAATTGCTTTCAGAGAACTGTCCTTGAATACATTTTTGATTGAGATACATGTAAGTAATAGAATAAAGTCTTATCAATTTTTGAATAACTGAAAAAAAAATTCTTACTTTTACCATTTTAATCGATTTAACCTTATCCCTTATATAGACGTGTTTTGACGGCTTTTTGCCACCCCCCTTTTTCTGAGGCCTAAAACAGTGAAAAAATGCCCTATTTAAGCCTCAATCACTGTTTTTCATTTGAGAAATGTTGTTAAAAAAAGTGACCTCTTTTTCTGCGTGGCTCCAATCAAAATGGTACATCAGGTGGTTGCCAGAAGGGGGATGTGCCCCCTTCTGTTTGGGGGGTTTGAAGGTGGGCGGCAGTCCCCCTCATCGCCAAGAAAATTTTGGACATGTGACAGGCTAAAAATGGCCTCAGGTCGATCTTAGGGTAACTAGTAACCGGCACTGAGAAGCCTTTTACTCTATCTTAATTCATTGAGAAGTTGCAGTACTTTGAAATCAGTTTTGATGGAAAAAAACAATGAAAAATAATGCTTTTTCGCAATTTTGAGACGTCCCCCCGTTGCCATGGTAACAGAAACTTTACGATTGAGCATGCTGTTACAGAGGCTATGGTTCAGTCAACATTTGTGCCAAGTTTCATGAGTATTGAAGCATTTTTCATAGTTTCATAGCACTTTGAACTTGTAACATGAGGCTTTTCAATGAAAATGGCCATTTTTCACAATACTGTAAAACACTTATTTTTCGCGAGAACCTTATTTCGCGAATTTGAGGCAAAATGTCCAAAATAATTATTTCGCGTCAACATGAATTCGCGTCTTCCCGAAAAATGTGAAACTGGAAAGTTGAAACCCGATATTTTGTCCTGTCCGTTCACTAACTTTGCGTCGTTTATTGTGCGACGAATGCATTTATATCTGTATCGATTTTTTCTGATAGCTTGCTAATCTTCTTGTTAAGTGAAACCGTCTGTCTAGAAATATGTCAATAAAGTTTGATAATTATTTGATATGTGTTCACTGTGCTAAAGTTTCACTGATTAGCCATTCAAAGGCAAGCAGACGAAAATCAATTAAACGGTACTGTAATTTGCCTAACCTGTAGTAAACAATTATGTTTTACCCTCCGGCTTAAACTGTAGTACAATACAATAGGATATACAATAAATAGAAATGTTACAAACAAAACTCGCAGGTGCTAAAGTATTTGTACCAATTAGAACAATCTGTAGAAATACCATTAAAATTTTAGTGAGACGCATAAATTGTTTATACCTGGGACATATACTTAATTCTAGTGCAAGTCACAGTTGCCTTCCTTGACACAGGTAATATTCAGCGAAGAAGTTTTTTTCCAATTCCTCAATAATACCAAATTGTTACAGGTAAATATTTCATACTAGTAATATGTACGATATGTATATGCTTCAACACTTGAATAGCTACATGATGAAACTAGAACTGGTTTCGATACTTTCCGCAGATATATATTCATGTGTACGCATTTTCGGATACTGATAGTGTTCATTTTCGGGCAAGTGTATAGACAAAGTGAAATATTCGCGAGAAATATGAATTCGCGTCTTAGAAATCTCGCGAATATTAGCGAAAATAAATTTCTCGCGAATAATAAGTGTTTTACAGTATGTCATGGGGGTAAAAGGTTAAACTAGCAATGTTCAGTGTTGTCGATAAAATTTCTGTGCTTAAAATGACAGTTATAATAACGTATAACTGTTTCAGTGTTTGTCAGTAGAAAAAACAGTTAGTTAAATGGGTCAAACCGTTCAAGCTTTATAAATAGCGTTAGCTGACCCAAAGGGCCTACTCCTAAGCAAGCTTTACGGTAACGCGTTTTGAAAACTTTCGTTTGAAGTACTGAATAGACACATCACAACTTTTTTGAATTACAAGATATCAGACTGGTGTCCTGCACACTTTTATAGGCACCATAATAGGACAGGGAACCAGAATAAAGCTAGCTTTGAGGGCTTGCCTTTTTCATATATATTAATTAGGCTGCAGATCATTATTTATAACTATGTCCAGTGATTAATCTAGAAATTCCTTACAATGCGTCGGATGACGCACATGTTTGAAAACAATGAGTCCTGTAGCAAAATCAATGAGTCATGTAGCAGAATTTTTTTTTTTAATAGCAGATCCTTGACATGATTTGCATGTTGATTAAGTAATTAAAGTGTATAAAAAAGTTATTTTTGGTACTAACATTAATTGCAGGCAAAACAATTTATATTGGCTGCTCAAAAGTCAAAAATCTAATTTGCATAATTTATATTTTCTTACAACTTATGTCTAATACTGTGCATTATCCATTTTGATTGTTCATAATTTGCACAAAATGTCCCTATCACACTGTATACATACTGTCGACTTTTATTGCTCCTTGTATGCCTCTGTGTAGAAAGCATACACAGACAGACCTTTTGATCATGAAAAAAGTCATGCACAATGTTTCCCTGATTGGTTAATCACCCTGTCAAATATTCTGATGACGTAATAGACATCTTTTTTTTTGTACTCCGCGTGAACTTGAGTGACCTTCGGGGAAATCATTACACACCTGTCAGATTATACTGTAACTTACAGCATTTCTTAAAATAGCAACATTTTTTTTTCAGTTACCAATAATTATTTAAAATATTAAGTAGATTAATGATTTTTTGTTTGCTTTATTGGATTAAATT